CCAATCTGATATTTTTCTGGCTGAGATCAGAAAAATAAATCACATTGCAGAGAAGAAAGTTACTGTACTCACTAATAATGTACTGCTGGCAAGTTAAAGATGGTGAGTTTTCTCCTTTTGAATATATGTAATAAAGGTACTTTTCAACTATGTCTACATCACCAGAAATCAAAAGCTTGACACATTGCAACTGATGGTCAACACATACACACAGATAGACTTTGAACTTGTATGTAGCCTTTTAGGAGCTGAACCTGAGATGGAAAAAACATTGAATCCCATATGTTTTGGGGAACTTGAGAAGATTAATACTTGGTCATTAAGAAGACTAATACAATGGTAAAGGGAAGATTTAGTATGGTTGTCTTCCTGTTATTCTCTAGTCACCAGTCCTGAGGAATCTGAATCCTCACATCCCTTCAACGGTAACAGAAGAATTATGAATCTGACTTTTAAAGCTTGTGTACTTTAGTACAGAAGGAACCTGTACATCCTGGTGAGTAATGCCTTCCCTTATTTTGCCTTACTTTGCCTTCCCTGTCCTTTCCTGACCTTCTGTGCTCTGCCGTACCCCGAGTGATTTATTCACTGCACCAGTGCATTTAAGTCATCTCATACTTCAAACCCAAAAAGAAAAGTGCTCTTTTAGGTTAACCCCATTTTTATATTCTCATTTTGAGACAAGAGGTCACTGTAAATAATTTTGGCCTGAGTAAACCATGAAGCCATTTCACCTTAAATATTGCATTGTACTGTAATTAGCAATACTAGATCTTTAGCAAATAACATGTTAAATTAGATGTATTTTATTATTACAAACCATGGAATTTTGTATTAGATAAACCTTTATGAAATGACACGAGTGGTTCTGTTTTTTTTCTGAAGCCAAAGTATGTGTGGCATACAGAAACATCTTTGGTGATGTTATCTTTTGGTGATAAAACACATCAATTCTGTTGTGCTCATATCACTTGCCACAGCAATTATTTAAATGATTCAGATGAGTATCTTCCTTTTCATACGTAGCTATTTGTGTGATAAGAGGGCACTGGAGTAATAAAAAGTGTCTATTTTTCAATGATGGTTATGAAACACTGTGTGTCCAAAATAAGTATAGTGAGTAATGGTATTTGCAAAATAAGTTTGCAAATGACACTGGCAAACTTAGAGTCACATATCTTATAGCAAATACTCCAACATACATGGACAACATACAACAAACCAATCTAGGGCAAAGGACTAGTGACAACCAATTACTGTCTAACCCACTGCCCTGGGTTGGAAGCTGATGAGACCACACTGGATCCATGGGTGGTGACTATCTACCTCTCTTTCTCATCTACTTTTCTCTTTTTCTCGCTAGTTTTCTCTTTTTTGCTCTTCTTTTCTCTTTTGCAATATATTAAACTCCAAACCCACTGTATCCTGTTAATGACTCGCTAAGTGCCATGATCAGTGCCCTGCTAAGGGCTTTGTTCTCACAAGGTATGCTGAGTTTGCACTGTTTGAATGCTGTGAAGTTTACTGATTTTCCTTTTGCCAAGTGTCTTGTTATTGAAGAATGGCTAGCAGAACAGGGGCACAGCCCCCAAGGAGCAGTGTGCGAGCAAGACTCGAGCAATGGTCTATAGGAACCTTAAGCATATAACTATGAGGTAGGCCTTAGGAACTTAGCACTAAGTTAATAATAAGTAAGTTTAGGTAATGTTAAGTTAATAGGTAAGTTTAGGTAATGTTAAGTTAATAGGTAAGTTTAGGTAATGTTAAGTTAATAGGTAAGTTTAGGTAATGTTAAGTTAATAGGTAAGTTTAGGTAATGTTAAGTTAATAGGTAAGTTTAGGTAATGTTAAGTTAATAGGTAAGTTTAGGTAATGTTAAGTTAATAGGTAAGTTTAGGTAATGTTAAGTTAATAGGTAAGTTTAGGTAATGTTAAGTTAATAGGTAAGTTTAGGTAATGTTAAGTTAATAGGTAAGTTTAGGTAATGTTAAGTTAATAGGTAAGTTTAGGTAATGTTAAGTTAATAGGTAAGTTTAGGTAATGTTAAGTTAATAGGTAAGTTTAGGTAATGTTAAGTTAATAGGTAAGTTTAGGTAATGTTAAGTTAATAGGTAAGTTTAGGTAATGTTAAGTTAATAGGTAAGTTTAGGTAATGTTAAGTTAATAGGTAAGTTTAGGTAATGTTAAGTTAATAGGTAAGTTTAGGTAATGTTAAGTTAATAGGTAAGTTTAGGTAATGTTAAGTTAATAGGTAAGTTTAGGTAATGTTAAGTTAATAGGTAAGTTTAGGTAATGTTAAGTTAATAGGTAAGTTTAGGTAATGTTAAGTTAATAGGTAAGTTTAGGTAATGTTAAGTTAATAGGTAAGTTTAGGTAATGTTAAGTTAATAGGTAAGTTTAGGTAATGTTAAGTTAATAGGTAAGTTTAGGTAATGTTAAGTTAATAGTAAGTTTAGGTAATGTTAGTTCCACATGGGTGACCAAAATTTTATAGGTAAAAATTATTTCTTCTTGAACCTCCTGAAAATTGAGTTATTTCTCCCACGCACTGCCCACAGTAATTCAAATTTACCTTCCCCTCAACCTGCCGAGCGGACCGGGGCGTTACGCACAACTCAACCTTGAAGCTTCAAAGAAAATTGCCTAACAATGCATATTTAAAATATATTCTGTATTTTCACTCTTTAATTTTTTAATTGAAAATATAGATGAATTTATTTTTGCCAAAAAAAAGAACAAAAAAGAATACTACCATTTGTTTGACCCCTTCAGTGTTTTTAAAGAGATTTAAATTTGATTTATTCATTTAGACCCCTCTAAGTGAACCAAACATATTTACTTGCTTACTTTTCAAATATATTCACATTAAAAAAATGTTTTAAACATTTGTGTAAGAAACATTGGCAAATTTTACCCTTGAAGAACACAAAATGAACTGTTTAAAATTGGAGAGTAGCAGAAGTATGGAAAACTTTGTTCCTTTTAGGAGATTATCTAAGACAAATCTTATCAAATTAAATATATAAAGTGAAAAATACTCTCCCAAGTGAAGGGCAGGTATGTCAAACCAGGAATAAAGTAATATACCAGAAAAGGCATGAAAAGGTAAAAACTTCACCCCTGAAGATAAATAAATGACCCAACAGATAAACTACCACCACACAGAATGCCAATATTGCACTAAAGTGGAATCCCTTGTCAGCAACTGAGTACCTAAAGCTGTGCTTGCCAGTCTAATTTTGGATGATTTGGCTTAAAAAAGACACAAAATCAGAAATTGACACAATTCAGATTAGAAAGAATCAAACAAAGAAATATAAGTAGGAATTTCAGAAGCTCCCAGCCTCACACAAGGACTTGTAGATGAGCCCTGAAGATGGGCACAGCAGCTTTGACAGCCTGAAGGAGCTCTCACTCTCTTTTATTTCCAGCAATCTGTTTGAGCTGGACTAGTTCATTGGTGTGCAAAGAAGTTCCACATATAACGTACTGGTACAATTTTGGGTGGTGTGCTGTGTTTATGCATAAAGAATGATGTTTCATGCCAATGGACAGACATATTTCACTGTCAAACTGTAGCCCCAGTGCTGGCCCATGCCATGACTCCTAACCTCTGGGATCCTTGCCTTCAAGACACAAATCCCTTGACACCATGCTACATACCAAAGTTACTGGTTTTCTGGAGCCACTCCCAGCTGCCCAGTAAGACATGCTGAGGTGTGGAATCTCTCCAAACTCCTGATCCCTTTGAGGGAATCAAGTATGTCCTAGCTCTTGATTTCACGGCCTGCTTGGACATTCTTTGAAAAAAGGGCATCCCCCCCGAAGTTGCCTTTTTTTTAATTTTTTTTTTTTTAAAAAAAAGAAGGTGAGGAGGCTTCCTTTTGGCCAGTAGCTCCAGGATCAGAGCTCTCACCTAGAAGCTGGACACACTTGGTGCTGGTGCCTTCTCTGCCTGAAGGCTCATTTCAGCAGCCCAGTCTGACCACAAAGCGACTGCTTAGAATTTAAAGAAACAAAACCTCTCATCCCTCTCTGTTGAATCTTGTATTGTGTATTTAAAGATCTTTCAGAGTGAAAAAAGCAGCATGAAAAGTGGCAGGACTTGGGAGAGCAGTCATTCACAGTGGAGAGGGAATAGGAGGACTCCAGGCACCAGCAGGTCCCTCTCCCTGGCTTACCCCGGGGCAGCAGCACCAACCATGCTGAGTGGCAGCAGCTGACCCAGTCTTTCACGGGTGTTCTAATGAACTGACATGCTACAAATGCACAGAACAGATTGAACCCTTCGGGCAGCGTAGACCAATGTTTATCTAGGCTTAGGATCCAGATGGGGCTCAACTCAAGATAGGTGTTCTGCTGGTCAGCACTGTTGAAATCAGATGTTTTCAAACCTTCAGGATTAGGAGCTTTTAATCACTAATAGTCCCCTTTACAGTTTCTTTTGGGGTTTTGCTTTTGTTTTTGTTTGTTTGTTCATTTTTTTAACTATCCAGAGTCAGGGTTTCTGGCTCCTGAGGTCTGTTCTAGTAACTAAATCTTTTTTATGGCGATGGGTCTCAGTGACAAAAGGGCCATTTTGATTCAGGCTCCAAATTAATCTTGTGTCTCATGTGACTGTGTCTGAGGACATTTGCAACTCCAAGGCAAACATCTAGAACAACCTAGTCTCACCTCTTTGGAGACACTAAAGTAATTCAGATGATTTGGCTTCTTTATTTACAAAGTTGTCTTAATTATAGACCCATCCTTTTACTATTGAATGGGTGGGTATATCTATAGTATTCATCTTAAGTGCTATTAATCTCTCATTTATTTTACTTATGCCATATATCCACATATTACTGCCTATTTAACTTTAGAACAGACCTGATTATAAAAGATGTAGTTAAAGCAGTTTTAACTCACTCCTTGCCACCAGGAAAGTAAATATAATTCACTTATGCCTACCAGTAAACAGCAGCTTGAAGTCAGTGTAGTGCAGAACAAGCTATGCTTACCATCAGCAGCCCTTTATAAGCGTAGACAATCCCAAGCCAAATTGTCATGTGGGTGTTTTCACAGTGCTCCAAGATTGGTCGGATGGAAATATCTCTACCCGCAGGGTCCGGCTGCAAAAATAAAAGGTAAAATATTTGGATTCAGATTTCCTTTGCATTTACACCTCAGCAGCAATCTGTTTGATTGAGGATGAGTGGACAACTTTAGAGTAACTTGTGATAAGTGTAGACCCATGAACCTGCAAAGAACTACAGTGAAAAGCAAGGACCTGAAGAAACAGCTGCACAATACCTACCACCAGGTGAGGTTACATTGACTGCAAACCAGAAAGACAATGTCTGATGTCACTCTGTATTTAACAGTGTCAGTCACATTTATCAGCTTTAGGACATCTAATTTTTCTACATGGCAAACAGCTTGAAAGCACAGGCATGAAAATGAATGTATTTAAATTCATCTCTCCTTTCACCTGTGGTTCTTGTGTCACTGGCAAATGGCTGATAAACAATGTATGAAACATTGGTGTTTTTCAGGTGTTTTGTCACTGATAACCATGAGCTAAATCAAAGACCATTTACTTTGGAAACTGCAGCAGTAGCTTAGAAGAGAGTATAAATAAAAAAAAAATATATTTGAAAATGTCCTTTAGAGCCTGTGATTGCCTATGCAAAATGCAATACTGCTGGAAGCTTTGTAGCTGTCCATTTATTTTGAAAAGGGAATTGTATAATATTGTAGAATCAAGAGAACTTGGAGACTATCAGGACTGTTTGTATGAAGGAGAAATTATAATTAAGACTCAGAGAAACCTGCAGGAACCATCCATTGCCCCTCTCACTTTATTTTTTTAAACAAGAGAAAGAACAGTTGACACACAGAGCAAAGGGGCCCTGACTACCATGCTGTATACAATTAGAATATATATTAGGGTCTGGTCAAACTGCTTGTTGATGATGTACATTGTATAAGAACACAAGGTGCTTCTCATATGTGATTTTAAGAGATCCTGTTTTAGTTACATACCACAGAACACTCCTGTTGGCTGTTGTGAGGTGTGTGTACCTACAGACTGTTGTGCTTTACTGAAAATGCTGAAATACTGAAAGTTATTTTTCCTTCCTACTTGGAAATACTGGATCTGAATTTCAGCCAAACTAAGATCAAGTTAGACATAATTTTCTGTACCTGGTTATCCCAGTGGGCTTTTAAGTTTTCCTTTTTGATGAATAATGTGTAAAAGTGCAGAAGTATAATGATTATTATACATGGAAAATTAATGTTTTCACCAACTGAAGCACAGAATTATACATGGAAGGACTTTGGAGAGATCTTAAGAATTTCCTAAAGTTCATTCTTGTTGCTTTTGATGGTGTATGAATTCTGCTGTGGATTTCAGTGGTCGCAGCATTAATCTGCAGCTCACTTTCTTCCATTGGTCTTTTTGTACGTGAGGCATTGCCCCTGACATGATACACTGTAAAATAGTAGTGTAACAAATAAGGGTGTAGACCAAGGGGTGGAGAAAACCCAAGCAACCTTGTGCTATGCACTGCACAAAGGATTCACAATTTTCTTTGCAAATCCTTCAGGAGGCAAGACATTAACATTTAAAACCTTTTCCTATCCTGGACTTCTGTAGAAACCCTGAACAGAATAAAGCTCTTTGATAAAAAGGGTGTCCTAAAATAAAATAAGATAAAAACCAAGGCAGCAATATTAACTCTCCCAGAGAGCTTATGACTCCATCCTAATGGTTGTTGATGGCAGGCAAACAACCATTAGCTGAAGAACTGAAGTGACTGCAAACATTAAGTGTCATCACAACATATAAGATGCTACAAATGTTTGTCTGGGGATCAGTTGCACTACCTCATTCTCCCTCATCAATGACAAAAGCCCAATGTTAAAATTTAGGTGCCCTGAAAGTACCCTTTCACGTCAAAGTTACAACCTGTTATGTTCAACATAATTTTTTCCTATTACGAAGTAAAGTTCAGAGGACACATCATTCACATAGAACTCTGAATGTGTAACTGATGTGTGAACAGGACTGTACTACAGAGACATTTTTCTGAAATTCTAAATGCCACCGAAGCCTGCTATAAAGATTATTTTTTCCCATCTTTGAGTTACAGTATGCCAACAGCTCCATCCCTCCTGGTCTGGAACTACAGGTGTTATGTAAAATTTAAGGTTGCGGTCATCAGACTGTTTTGGTTTTTTTTCTTTCCTTTACACTGGTGAATCAGCACAAGATTGTCTCTTCATTTCCCCAGTTCCACATCCTTCCTGCCATGTATTACTTCTATTTCAGTTTTGTAGTTTTCTGAAACAAGAAAGTGTATAAATAATGTAGACTTCCACCTGCTCTGATTGCGCATGTCATGTGGTTCATTTCTCTTGTTCCTGGACTGAAACCTCCAATTACACTTGGACTGAAGGATTCCAACACTTTTAAGCAACTATAAGTAATTGGAACAATTCCTTGTTTCAAAGAATGTTACGGAAATTAAAACTCCTATTTGGTCCATGGCAGATTATATTTTCAATTTCCCTATGTGCCTATTCTCTAATGTGAATTTGCTTCAAAATTGGAAGGCATATGTCCATTCATTACTCAAAAACTCTCTTTTAAGACCCAGGCACGAAAATGATGAAATGAAAAACATCACTTGTTTTCAAATACTATTAGAGAGAAACCATCATTTCCTTAGTAGGAAGACTGACAGATTTAATGAGACGATAATAGTTTAAAATTTATGTAAATTAAATAAAACAGCATATTCAGAGTTTCTTTGTGAGATAGGAAAATCTTGTTTGGTGCTCTAGGGGGAGCAGGAAAAGAAAGAATACCAATTTCAGCATCAGCAAAAGTGTACATGGTACAACACTTCTTTCAAAAGTTTCCAGATCTGCAAGGTGGTAGTATTTTAAACCAAAATTTTTTGAGGTCCTGTGCACATGGAGCTAAGCATTGGCAGGTAGCAATAATTCTACAGTGAACTGATTTTGCTGATTACTTATCTCTACTGCAGAATGACATTCCTGTTCTACTGCTTTTAATTTGTCATTCTGTTTCTTCACTGATTTTGCATGAATTAGCTAATCATAGCAAAAAGCTGGGTTAAAAAAACATATGATATTTTCTGATGTCAAAAGAATTTTAAAAAACTCTACAATTACAGCTGAATAGGGCACTTGACTGACCTCTCTAATCATCCACCATTTGTGCACTTTGTTACTGCTTTAGAGAGGATGACAACATAAATGCTACCAGTGATTATATATGTACTGGAAATTTGCCCTTTCCTTTTATAGAAAACAATCTCGATGCCCTTCAGATGTCATTCTCAAAAGCCTGAAGACCTCCTATCTTGTGATTAGGTTGAAGCTTTCCTACCTCTTCTGAAACCTAATAAGGTTTCTGACATTGACATCAATTTCTGGAGTGCTTTCAGCAGTTGAACATAAATAGTTTAATCTGTTCACTCCATACAAGAGTTGTGTATCATCACCAGTAAAATGCTTGTTTTACATGAGATCTGCTAGGTCTAGAAAGCAACCCAAACCAGTAAACAGATTACCCACAGAATGTTTATATCCCCTCTGAGTGCATGTTTAAACTGTTATTAGTCAATTCTGTAGTTCTGTTGCCTTTTCATTTTCTTTGCTCTTCAGTCTGATGAGGGGCTGGCAGATCCTTGTCATAATAGGTGAGTGATGACTTAGGTGGGTACTGCCAGAGTGAGGAGTGAAGCTGAAAACCACCTGGAACCATCAGGGAAATTTGCAGGAGGGACCCTGCAGTGACAGAGACTGACGAGTGCCTCCTGCCTTTCTACATCTCATCCAAACATCTGAGCAGCAGTGAGACTCTTGTTTCCTCTGCATATATGGATTGCAATACAAAAGTACAGGCTTGGTCTCAGCTGCTTACCAGAATATCCTGTGTTAGGGAAGCAGAAAGGCAGTGCTTCAAGTGCACGTATCATTTTAATCGAAGAGTTGTCTCAGTTTCCTTTAAGGACAAGGATTCCTTTAAGGATCTGGTTCCACTTGAATAAATGAATGTATGCAATGCAATTCCTTGTCTCAGGCTCAGGCGTGGGAAGACCAGGCAAATATTCTGAGGCACCTGTGCCTGCTGGGCATGATGTTATTTGATCCATATAGAGACAGTTCTTACCCTCTTCTTTTTTTTTTTTTCTTCATTTAAATCTGTGACTAAAATTTCTTAGTGGCTATAATACTAGTCAAAGTCCCTCTGGAAAAGGGAGATATTTGTATGATGTCTAATGTATCTTTGACTTATTTTGTGTCTTTACTACCATTCCTTTTCTATAGTGCCACAAAAGTCTTAAAAAGAGGATGAATCTACGTTTCATGAGACATTTCATCCAGCAAATGTCTGTGAAGAACAGACTGGGCTAGCACATAGTATCAAAAAATCCTTGACTTTCCTAAGGTACTACTTCTACATCACCTCTTCAGGTCCCTTGGCCAGTCTGGCAGATGATTCTGTTTACAGAGTTGTGGTGTTGCTGCGTGACAGAGCTCACAGGCAGTCAAGCTCTGCAAGTCACTAAAGAACTGTGCAGCAGATCTCCAGTGTGACACTGTGCCATTTGTGAAGCTGCAGTTTCATCAGTGAGAAAATCAGAATGTTAGGCCTCAGTCTTTTCCAAAGACAGATATGGAACATAAGGTAAATAGTTGCAGCTTCTGTTTACTGGGTTTAAAATAAACTGTGTGGTTCCCATCGTATAGGAAAATACAGGATCATACTCTTCTGTCACACTGTTAAAATGGTCCTCATATATCATCCCACTCTTTGTTTTATCTTCTCTTTAAATGGCTTCAATCGAACTGCCAGAATGAATGTATACTATAGCTAGTTTACAGCATGAATTAGATATCTCTGGCATTTTTAATTTGGCACATTTTACAGTCATATGTACAGTCAGATGTGATTCCTTATCTAAAAAGTCAGACCTTGCTAAATTAGATCATCCTTACTTAAATTCAATTTCCTTTTTTTTTAAGGATAATTATACTTGGTTTATACTATAAATTCTGTAAAGGTGTTCAAACAGCTTGCAATATA